CTCTCCCTCTCCCTCTCTCTCTCTCTCTCTCTCTCTCTCTCGCGCTCTCTCTCGCTCTCTCTCTATCAGTTCCCATTCGATTATTAAGGTTAAGTAATGACAATTTCACATAAGTTAAGAGAAAGATGGATGAGTATAAGATTGGAATCATGCAGGAACACATATTTGAAGTGAAAAGATGCAGTTCTATAAAAATAAAATAATACTCTATTTTACTATTTAAAGGAAACACTACGGTGAGGATAAAGAAAAATAATTTTTATAAGAATTTTTTTAAAAAGAAATTATACGTTTCTCTAATGTTATTTTTATGTACGTACTTTGTGTATGTTTTAAAGGGTTTTATATTATTTTTTATTAAAATATATTTCACGACGAGTTCCCTCTTATAGAAAAGTATTGTTAGCATTTAGTAAAAAAATAGTAGTGATCAATCATTGTTCAGTGATACAGTGATTGTTTGGCGAATTACTATTGGGAGTACAAATAAGTCTCCGCCGTTTGACAAAAGATAGCCTCACCAGTAAGTTATAGTTGAAATTGTCAGATGTAAAACGTCATATCGTAAGGTTGGACATCTAGCCATAACCTTGAAATATTAGCGATTTTGTATCAGCATCACATAATTTTTTTCGTGCGAAAATGTTGAATTTTGAGCCGAATAAGCGTCATTTGAGAGAAATTTTGATTTACTTCTTTAATTTGAAGAAATCTGCAGTTGAGGCGCATCGATTGCTTGTAGAAGCATATGATGAGGTTGCTTTAAGTGAGAGATGTTGTCGTGAGTGGTTTCAAAAGTTTAAGAACGGTGAGTTTCACGTCGAAAACAAAGAACGTAGCGGAAGGCCGAAAGTGTACGAAGAATTGGAACGCGGAAAGTGTACGCGGAATTGGAAGCATTATTGGAGGAATATTCGTGCCAAACGCAAGAAAAACTTGCACTTACATTAGGAGTGACTCAAGCAATTTCACATCGTTTAAAATCGTTGGGAATGATTCAAAAGCAAGGAAATTGGGTGCCGTACGAATTGAAGACGAGGGACGTCGAAAGGCGCAAAATGACTTGTGAATTGTTGCTTCAAAGACACAGAAAAAAAAGTTTTTTTGCATCGTATCGTAACGGGTAATGAAAAATGAATACCCTACGATAATCCGAAGCGCAAAAAATCATGGTGCAGGCCAGACGAACCATTAACATCGACGGCAAAGCCGAATATTCATGGCGCCAAGCTCATGCTCTGTATTTGGTGGGATCAGCTTGGTGTCGTGTATTATAAGTTGCTCAAACTGAGCGAAACCATTACTGGGGCTCTCTACCAAACACAATTGATGAGATTGAGCCGAGCACTCAAGGAAAAACGCGCCCACTACTACTCCAGAAACGACAAAATTATTCTCCTGCATGATAATTGCATTCCCGCCATTATTCTCCTGCATTCTCGTCCACATGTTGCGGCGCCGGTCAAAATCTACTTGGAAACACTCAATTGGGAAGTTTTACCTCACCCGCCGTATTCACCAGACATTGCTCCCTCTGACTATCACTTGTTTCGATCGATGACGCACGGCCTGTCTGAGCAGCACTTCACATCATATGAAGATACCAAAAATTGAGTCGATTCGTGGATAACCTCAAAAGATGAAGCGTTCTTCCGACGCGGTATCCGTATGCTGCCAGAAAGATGGGAAAAAGTAGTGGCTAGCAATGGACAATACTTTGAATGAAACATAAGGTACCATTCTTTCACAATAAATGCCCAATTTTTTATAAAAAACGGCGGAGACTTATTTGTACTCCCAATATATAATGGAGAAGGAGGCATCTTTAAATATTTTTTCTTCTCAGACTGATAAATTTTTATATAATGAAGTTATATTTCATATTTATTTCTGTTGTGTTAATCGAGTTGAAATTTTGATCCTAGTTTCGACCTCAATATTCTATTTGTGTTTAGATTCTTTGAAACCTACATGAATCTTGTTCGATTCTATTTGATCTCCTTAGCTTCAATCGTAGCTCTACTTTCAACTTCAATATTTCACTAAAGCCGACTTACAAGGGACAACAGAACTGTCCCACACCGATTTTAATGTGCTTTGGATATGTTGTAGAGGTTCAAGAAGTAAGAGACCTATATTTTTTTATGTCGTCTTATCTCGAGGTTTATGGGTTAAAACAACCCCTTGAAAAAAAATTAACTTTTTCATTTTTATGGAATAATTTCTAAGATATGATGAAAAAATGTTTCTTATGAAAGTTTTACAATATTTAATACTCTTTGTAACGGCGTATTTAATTTTTTTTAATGTCAAATTTTTCATCTCTCCCCCCCTCCCTTTACTTGTTACCTTCGCATAATTTTCAAGTTTTTGTAAGGATAAAAATTGTAGAGTATTTAATACCAAATCCATCCATATATAATAGTAAATCCATATATCCATATATAATAGTAAAAATTAGCCTCGCTTTAATCGTTGGAAAACGACGTGATAACATCGTGCTATAGGCGCCACACTGCCCAAGTAGATAGATACTGTAGATATATATGTTACTATAGGTAAGGGAATATAATTAATTTTGGAAAAATAACGCATAGATAATTGCATATATATGAAAAATCCGTTTCCAGTGTGTGTTAAATGATTGGCAAGTTAAGAATGTGGAGAGAGTGTGAAAGAAAAAGAGAAAAGTTTGGAATTGAGGGATGGTGAGTCGGGGGAAGAGAAGGGTAGTGAAGATAGTGTGGGAGTATGTGGGTGACAGGAAACGAAGAATGAAGGGATGGAAAAGTGAGGACGAAGTTAGAAGGTAGGAGAGATTTGTCCCTCTCTTGCTCGTGGACCACCTGCAGCCGGGCGTTTCGTTACGGG